TCTCCGAGTAGTGGAAGCGGGCGAGCTCGTTGAGCCACGTCACGCGGAGGTCGGGCGTGTGGACGTAGCCCTGGGCAATGCGGAAGTAGAGCTCGGCCATCATCTCCGAGTCGGCCTTCTGCTTGAGCTCGGTGACCTCGATGGTGTCGCGCAGGATCTTGGTCAGGGTGCCGGACAGCTCCTGGACCTGGCGGGCGAAGCCGGCCTTGAGGTAGCAGTGGCGGGCCTCGTTGCGGGCGCGCTCGGCCGGGATGATGGCGATGGTGGCGGTCGAGTAGACGAACAGGGCGTACTCGGTGAGCGAATTGAAGGCGTGGCGGATGTAGGTGTCGTCGCTCATGGCGCCCTCGGTGATGAGTTGCGACAGCGCCGTGGTGGCCTGGGTGTAGATGCGCCCGAACTGGCCCATCTCCTCGTAGTTCCGCAGCATGAGCAGAAAGAGGAGCGACGTGGCGAGGGCGCGCGTGTGGGCCGACGCGGTGTTGGCGTAGCGCAGCACCTCGCGGCACAGGGCGTAGAGCACGGACGAGTTCTCGGAGAAGAGGCGCGAGCGGAAGCGCGAGAGGAAGGCCCGGAGCGAGGCGAACAGGGACTCGAGGAAGCGCAGGGATTGCGGCCGCTCGAGCAAGTTGACCAGCAGCGCCAGCACTCGCTCGAGCGTGGGCGTCCCGTCGGGCGTCGCCATCTCCGGCGCAAAGTCCTCCACAAAGTCCTCCACCACGTCCAGGAGGAGCATCATCACGCAGCAGTTGAGCTTGCCCTCCTTGCCCGGCTCCTGCGACTTGTCGGCGTCCGAGTCCCCGAGCGAGCTCTTGCGCGGGCTCTCGGGCGCCTTCTTCTCCGACGTGGCGAAGGCGAACGACGGGGCCTGCAGGATGGCGCCCTTGGCGTTGGCCCGGTCGTACTCGAACGTGGCCGCGCAGGCCGCGAGCAGGTCCAGGAACCGGTGCCGCCGCTCGACCGACTCGAGGCGCCACCACCGCCGCAGGAAGGCGCGGTCGATGTTGCGCAGCACGAACAGGAGCGACACGTAGAGGCCCCGCTTCTCGATGGGCGGGCTCTCCTTGTGCCACGGTTCCATGTCGCCGTAGGCGTCGAGGAGGAGGGGCACGAGCGGGAAGTAGACCAGCGCGACGCGGGCGCGCTGCCCGGGCTCCTGGTACCGCGCGTCAAAGTCGTGCTTGGTGAGCAGCATGTTGAGCGTGCAGATGGCGATGGCCCGCGCCAGCTTGACCGTCTCCCCTCCGCTCAGACTCCGCACCATCTCCTGAATCAGCATCGCCGACTGCGGATGCTTCTCGCTCATCGCCTGCCGTTCGCACGACGACACACAACACGACACATACAACGCGTGAGTGTGAATTGAGAGAGGCGATTGTTGCTTTTTAATTTTAGGTGGAGGTCGATCTGCACCTCGAAGGAGATGTCGGCGGGCTGCAGTTCGTAGGGCAGTGGCAGGTTGATGGGGATGAAGCACTCGTGGTCGGTGAGGATCTTGAAGAAGTCGAACTTGAGCACCGAGAGCTCCATCGCGCCCACCCCCTCATTCGAGGAGCCCGGCGCTGTTCAATCACCACACCAAAAACACCCACGGTCAGCCCGTGCATGCCGGACCCAGGCTCCCACAGGGTACAAGTCGCGTACAGGAGATGGCCTCGGCATAGATCTTGACCAGCGTGTTGATCCTGCCCCGATCGAATACAGGGTAGAGGTCTCGCACGAACAGGGCCACCATCTGAAACACACACACACACACACACACGGAAGCAAAGGTCAGCGTCGGATAGAGGGGAAAACGCGAGGAGCTGGCCGGTGGGGGGGGGCGTGTGTGCCTTGTTGAGCTCCATGGAGGGCTTGTAGTTATCGGTGGTTATGTGTGACTTGTAGTACTTCACCAGGTTCTGCACCACCTTGGTCACCAGCCGCGCGAACTCGGCGCTCCACCAGGTACTTCGGTCCGCTCGCGCTGTACGCCGCTCGCGCGAGGTCAGGCGGTGCCCATGTGATGGACGGCGAGTTGCAAAAAGAAGATCGTACCGAGTTGCTGTTCCTGGTGCAGTTTGATGGCCATCGACTTGATGAGCATGTCGAATATGAACCACATGGACGACGCCATATCTGCCGTCGTCACGTCCGCGCTCTCGTCAAAGTTGATCTTGCCCGCAATGAACGTGAGGAAGTGCGTGCACATCGCCAGCGGCAACTGTCGCAACGGAAAGGGGACCCGGTGAGCCCCAGACTAGAGCGGTTGTGGAGGGGAGTTGGCCGGTCATTAGTTCGTACCTGGTCGGCGAAGGCGCCGGGATCGAAGGCGTGGTAGACGAAGGACTGGAGGAGGCGCGACCGCAGGGCGCCCTTCTCCCTCGTGGCCCAGTGCACCAGGTTGAGGATCTTGAGCAGCACCCGGAACGCCTTGAAGCCCGGCGTGCGCGAGTGCACACACATGACGTGGCACAGCATCTGCACCAAGATCGGGAAGTTCTGCACCGCCACCGTCTTGGGAATGCTCTCGAGGCTAGGCATGTCGCGGCGTGACACAACAGAGAGGGGGGGGTTAGTATAATCAGGGTGCTAAGGTACCTTTGCAGTAGTGTATGCGTGCGTGCTGGTGGTGTACGAACCCGTCCAAGGCCTGAGAGAGCTCCCGTTCGTTGTCGGTGGTGGAGAAGAACTTGTAGAACTGGGTGAGTGCTGGGTCGTCGGGGTAGATGGTAGACACCATGCGCAGGCGCGTGCGGAAGAGGGGCTTCCCGTTGTCCAGGTAGATCGCCTTCGAGCGGGCCTCCTCGGACATGTAGTGGTCTGGTCGCTTGCTCACCACGATCGGGAGCCCGATCAGATCGCCCTGGTTGTTCTCGGGCAGCTTCCCGTTCTCGTAGAGCGGTAGCACGGCGTAGCCGATGGGCGACTCCAGCTCGTCTTCGCCCTTCTTGGGCCGCTGGACGGACACGTTGTAGAAGGTGAAGAGGAGGTGGAGCTTGTCGGTGAGCCGCGTGGGCAGCTTGATCTTGACCTCGTCCTGGAACGTGGGCGCCTTGTTGTGGTACACGACCTGCGCGATGGCCTGCCGGGAGAAGGCGGCGCAGGACGACCGGCCGAATATCATCGGCAGGCCCGGGGCGTCGGCCGCCTCATCGTCCGCTCGCAGCGCCACCTTGAGTGCAATGGTCTGCGCGAGTTGGTGCATGTGGTGTGTCGCGTATGTGTGTGTGTGTGTGTGTGTGTGGTCCGTGAGTCGCTACAGTGCAGACACATCTCGAAACCAGTAGCGTACCTTGACTTTCCTGTTGTGGGCCGACAGGACGACGGACTCGGGGTACACGTAGAGGTTGTTGACGTAGCTCCAGAAGCAGGAGGTCCCGCTGTCCCCGAACTCCTGCACCTCGTGGACCCAGGTCTCTTCGCCGCCCTCGGTGGAGGGGATGCGGCCGGTGATGGGGTCCCGCACCGGGTTCAGCGTCGGGTCCAGCCGGAAGGGCGGTATCGACGACTCCGTGATCAGCTGCGACACCCGCACCTCGCACGTCGCCGGAATCGCCTTGCGCTTGGCCTTCGGGTCCTGTTGTTCGTTCGTGTCAAGGCGGTCAGCAAGAGTGCGCCGAGCGCCACACGCAGGGCATGGGCGGGCGGGCGGCGTACGCGGAGCTCGAGGAGCTGGTCGTAGATGTTGTCTTTGGGGTGGGCCGGGTAGAGGGTGAAGTTGTTCAGCTCCTGCAGGGCGAGTGTGGAACGGGAGAAGACGGGCAGGGCGGCCCATGCGAACGACTGGCGGTAGCACCCCAGGCGCGAGCAGAACGCGACCGCCGATTCTTGGGCCTTGACCCTGTTCTTCTCCAGCTCTTTCCCCTTCTGCTCGTGCCCACGCATCAGTGAGTCACTCGATTGAGGGGACTACACCGTGCGCTCATAGATTGTGTGGGCCTCGAGGCGCGTACCAAGTCGGTCTTTGTGTACAATTCGAGCGCGGTGCTGTCCCCTTGAAGCACCTTATCGACTCGCAGGACGAGGTAGATATCATCGTTGGGCTGCGACACCGAGAACTGGCCCCGTTGACACCGAGTGCGAGGGTCGATGGACTCCTGCGGCGGCGTGCCGAGTGCGAGAGAGAGAGAGAGATGAGTCTCAATGGCCATCTCAAATATGGAGTGGGAGGGGGACAGAGAAGAGCTGGAATGCGAAGAAGGCGCTGCGTACAAGATGCCGCCCGAGCTTGGAGAGGATGGACTGATGGTTCCTGTCAAAGTAGAAGTTCTCCGAGATCTTGGTTCGCTTGCCCAGGTCGTAGAGGGCGAAGGAGCAAAAGAAGGGTTCAATTTGGCCAAACTGGAGTGTGAGGGCCTGGCACTCGACCAGCAGCTGTACAAGAGGCCTGTGGCACAGAAGAGAAGCGTGAGCACCGCGCACGCCCCACAAACTCCCCCAAGCACAAGTGTGGGCCAATTTTGACGAACTTGGGTTCGAGATCGGGAAGCGGCGGTGCGACACGCTCGCACAGGACACGCTCGTGGTTTGGCCACTTGTACTCGGGATCGTAGTACCGAAACAGAGGCAGCTGCCTCTCACGCTGAATACCCACCACCGCGACGCCCGTCAGTCGGCTCGTTTGGGTGCAAGGAGCAAAATTGCAATCGGGAGGGCACTTACCCGCTTCTGTGCGTTGAAGGCGAGCACCTGTGCGTTGGGGTGTGGGATGCTGCCGAGCAGGAGCTCGTCCTCTTGCTCGGCGGGCTCGGGGGTGGCTGTGGTCTCGCATTCGAAGGTTTCCTTGGGCAGATCGTAGATGGTGGCCGGCGTGCCCGTCGGCTGCGCCTTGGTGTAGGCCGTGTTCTGGCGAGTCACCACCACCCAGTTCTGGGAGAACGCGCGGAAGGCCTCCTGCACGTGCGGCTCGCACTTCTCCAGCCGCGTCCCGTCCTGTTGGCGTTCACCATTTGCCCACACGCGTGGTCGCGTCAACACCAGGCAACGACATCCATGAAGCGTGAGCTGCATGCCAACAACCAGGACTCGCTACGCAACGCGATTCGCGCACGAATGTGGAAGAGACGGGGGTGTTACCGGTTTGGTGGAGTAGAGGGTGCGGTGGGTCTTGGGTGTGGCGGTGAAGTGGAGGAGGTCTGAGGGGAAGGAGGCCATTTCGGGGTGGTCGGACTCGAGAATGAGCGGGGAAAGGAAGCGCGCCTCGAACTCGGTCACCTCCTCCACCGTGTCGCCCGTGGGCATGGGCGGAGGTGCCGGGGGCGGCTCCTGCGGTTCGAAATCCTCGTCGTCCAGCAGGGCGGGGTCCTCGTCGAGCGGGAGTGCCGGGGGCATGTCGTCTGGACCCGGAGGCGGCCCTTCATCTTCGCCACGTGGACCCGTGGAGGGCTCGGCGCCATCCATCGATTCATCTTCATCCGGATTCCTGGTGGCCCTGGAGGAGCCCTTGCGCCGGGCGCCTGCGTCGGTGCTGCCGCTGTGTTTTCGAAGGACCCGCGTGCCGTCGTCATCTGAAACCTCATCATTTCCATCCTGTGTGGTGGGGGCGTATTGTATGAGAGTGGGCGGGGCGAAAAGGACGGCGCGGGAAGAGGGATACCGAGTCTTCGTTGCCACCGGCCCGCTTGATCGAGATCTTCCTCTTCGATATTGCTGCAGATGAAGAGGAGCTGGTCAATGACCCGTTGTGGCTGCTGGATCTCAGCTTGGAGTCCAGGCGCCCACCTCGAGGCGAATGGGGCGAACCCTCGCCCTCTTCGCCTCTCTTTGGCTGCGAGATCTTCCTCCTGTGCGAGGTCTCTTCTCCGTCCATCTTTCCCACGACCAAGCAACCAAATAAACCACCAAACCTCTTCTACTCTTGACGTTGCGCGCAGTTCTTCGCGGCCCGAGGGGCACCCGCCAATTTCCCCCGAGCGGAAAAAGGAGAAACACCCGAAGCCTCGACACACCAACACGACGTCCGGCGCATTGGGAGAGTGCACAGTGCCGAGGGCGTACGTGATTACAGTCACCAGGGAGAGTGGTGTGAACATACACGCCACACGCGGCATGGCCGAGAGGATTCTTTAGCGCGTTCTTTTTTTCTTTTCTTTTTTTCTTTTCTTCTTTTGTGTATGCACGTGTGGACCGACATATTAAGGGTGGACAATCGCTGAAGCACACTGGAGGGAAAGTTCGACAGAACAACTGCTGCGGCAGCTGAACAATTTCACACCACAGAAAGACGCGTACAGATCGACATCAAGACATCAGACTAGAAGGATCTCCATCCAGCAGCATCACCCCATCCATCAATTCGACCAACATGCAGAAGCCATTCAAGGAGGAACATTCTCTTGGTAAGGGGAGCTTCTGGTGAATGAAAGGCATCATTGATGCGAAATTAGAAACAGGAAGCTCATGGATATGTTCCCTTTTATACTGCAGACAAGAGGCGTGAGGTCGCCGACCGCATCAGGGCCAAGTACCCCGACCGCATTCCCGTGATTGTGGAGAAAGCGCCCAAGAGCGATGCCCCCGACATCGACAAGAAGAAGTACGCATCATAATCGCTCAATGATGATCACGCGGCGGTCCGTTGCTGACTCTTTTGTATTGAAGGTTCCTGGTGCCTGCCGACATTACTGTGGGCAAGTTCGTGTACGAGATCAGGAAGCACATGAAGCTAAGCCCCGAGAAGGCCATCTTCCTCTTTGTTAATAACGTTCTGCCCCCTACTGGTATGTATTGCTGCCCTCTCCTCCTTCCTTCTGTGGGTTCACACCTGTGAGACCCTTTTGGTTCTGTTGTTTCGTTTCTTCTAACCTACGTCCTTCCTCTGTGCTGCAGCCGAACTCATGTCGCACATCTACGCCAAGTACAAGGACGAGGATGGTTTCCTCTACATCACCTACTCGGGCGAGAACACGTTCGGCCAGTAGAGAGGACTCACCCTCCCTCTCTCTCTTCCCCTTCTACCGAAACGGTTTCCTGTACCGAGGGTCTTGTACATACCCCTGTTGCCAACTCAACACGTTCCACTTTCAAACGCCGTGCAAGCTCGTAAAACAACCAAGACGAAGACGCAGGGTTCTTGGTGATGAGGGTCCGTTTATTAGCGGGGGAGGGTCAACAAGAGAAGAGACAGAGCATCAAATTTACAGCAAAACACAGGCTACACGCCCGCAGCCTCAGCGGAGAAGGTGAAGAAGAGAGAGGGAGAGGAAAGAGGGCGTGCGTTGGTGGTTGATGGTAGCGAGCGAGAGAAGAGAAGATGGTGTCTCGCGATGGTGCTCCGAGGCCTGGGCTTTAAATAGGGTGATACGATGGTGTGCTGAGAGGACCGCGAGGGAGGAGGAAAAGAGCGGAGAGCGAAGACAGACTCGGAGGGGTTTCGCCCGCTTAGCGCTTGAGGGTTTCGATGATCTGCGCAATCATCGTGTGCGTGATGCCTGGTTGCGACTTCTCGGCGTTGTCGAAGGCGATCTTGAGCTGGGCCAGTGACGAGATGACGTTCTCGTCGGTTGTGCTCTTGAGCAGCTTCGAAAGCACGGGGTAGATGACTGAGGTGAGAGCCGAGGGCCGACTGTTGCCGCCAGCCGCAGGCGCGACCGCCTTCTCGCCGCTCTTGTCGGTGCTGCTCTTCTCCTTCTCCCTAATGAGGCATGAATGGGTAAGCTCGCCGCCATCATCGCCCACGGCTGCGCAAAACATAGATGATGGATGGACACGTACGAAGAGGACTTGTCCCGCTTGTGTTTGGAATCTGATGAACCCGACCCCGACTTCTCATCGCCGTTCTTCTTTGTTTCCGTTGAGCGCGAAGAGCGCGGCTTCTCGGAGGTCTTCTCCTTTGGCTTGGGCTGCGGCTTCTCGTCGTCGGAACTAAAGTCCCATGGCTCGTCCACATCCTGGGCACTGCGGGTTCGGCGTGTGAGATGCCGACAGCATAGCACGTTGGCTGTTATGACACGAAACAAAGGAAGGCGCGTACTCATCAGAAGGGTGATCGTCGTCGTCATCGTCCGAGTCAGCGTGGCCCATCGCCTGCTGCCATTTCTTGCGCCGCTCGATGAGGTCGACGAGAGAACCCGTCTTCTTGGCTCCCTTGACGAATGGGTGCTTCAGCAGCTCCTTGGCGGTGGGTCGCTCGTTGGGATCCTTCTTGAGGCACTGCGCCACGAAGTCCTTGAACTTCTTGGTGAAGTTGCCCTCGAGCGTGGGAGGCCCGTTCTTCGGGATCAGGAAGAGCACGCGCATGGGGTGGAGGTCGGCGTAGGGCGGCTCGCCCTTGGCCATCTCGATCGCCGTGATGCCGAGCGACCAAATGTCGGCCTTGGAGTCGTAGCCAGCCTGCTTGATGACCTCGGGAGCCATCCAGAAGGGAGTACCGACGAAGGTGTTGCGCTTCGTCATCTGGTCCGTAAGCTGTCCGGCCACGCCAAAGTCGGCCAGCTTAACAGAACCGGTTCCCGACAGGAGGATGTTGGCGGCTGGACGTACAACAGGATAGGCGTGCAAGCGTGAGACGGCACTGCCTTCAAGGCCAGAGTTCACGGTGGTTACCTTTGATGTCACGGTGGATCTTTCCTTCCTTGTGCAAGTACTCCAGACCCTTGAGCAGCTCTCGGGTGATGATAGCGATGTAGGCCTCGTCCATGGGGCCGGGTTTCATCTTTAAAACAAGAAGGAGCAGGAGGTCAGAGTGTTGCCTGAAACGGAGGAGGGTCGGGAGGAGGCAGGTACCAGGTCGAGCACAGAGCCGCCAGCAAGGAATTCCATAATAATCCATAGCTTGGTATCTTTGAGATAGGAGCCGAAGTATCGAGTCACATGGGAGCTCTCGCATTGGGAGAGCACGGCAATTTCTTGTTGAATGTCCTCGATTTCGTCCTCAGCATCCTCCAAGTCTATGATTTTGATGGCGACGGCCTTCTTTGTCTTCTTATCAACCCTTTTTGAGGAATCGAAGCTGTCAGAGATAGCCCGGCTAGTCATTCGTGCGTGGCTGCGAACCGAACACGTACCCCTTGTACACCTCGCCGAAGGAACCCTTTCCAATTCTCTCCTGCTTCTCATAGAGCTCTTCGGGGTCTGCGTGGCCCTGCTGAAAGAGAAGGATGATTCGCGCTTAGTACATTGTGCAAGGTAGCAGATGGTAGTCGTGGGATTGATGATCCGTACCATTGTGATGTTTGTATCTGGGTGGTGCAAAAGGAAGAAGGTGCGATCAATAAAAACGTTGAGAATCAAATCGCGGCAGATAGGCAACGATTAATGGATGTTCCCCCCTCTAACCAACAAAAACAACAACACTCGAGGCACTCACGTACGTGGTAGAGCAGTCGTTTAGTAGAAGTAAAGCCTCGATCAATCTGTAAGGCGGCGACGCTTCTGGAGCGCTGTTTGCGGGTAGACAAGGCAACAGAACTCAGACTCTCTCCGTGCTGCGGTTGTTGTTGTCTCTCGCGTAGCTACGGCGCTGCGGCCCAATTTACTGGCCCCTTCCTGTCGACCCGTGGCTAAACTCCCGAGGGCGATGAAGCTTCAGGAGGGTGTTGTTGCCTATAGGGTGCGAGAGACAGCAAGTGAGAGAACATATGTTTACATGTACAGGTGACTCCTCAATAAATACAGCGCCACAGAGAGCACAGATAAATACAGAGAATCGTGTATATACACCACCAGCAGCGGACCCGCCCTCGTGGCTCGGCTCAGGGACAGGGGCTCAGGGCTGGCCAACCAGCGAACGAGAGCCTGCTCTGGCAGACACAGACTGGCCTTAGAGCTCCATCTGCTCGATCAGCCTGGCGGCGATACGCTTGTAGTTCCAGGCGTCTCCCGATATCCGGTTGAAGCGGATGCCGTTCATCGAGAGCATGGGCAGCTTGCACACTTCGACCTCGAAGTGCACGTCGTCGCAGGTGCAGTAGGCGCAGTAGGAGCTCGTGGTGAAGGTGGTGTTGTTGAGCGCCAGGACGCGGCTGACCTCATTCATGATCTCCTCGGCCGACTTGGCCGACGTGGTCGACACGTTGAGAGCGAAGCGAATCGATCGGGGCTCCTTCTCCTTCTCCTTCTCGCCACGTCCACGTAGCAGACCGAGGCCGGACTTAAGCGAGTTGACGAGGGAGTTGAGCGTGCCTCCATTCTTGCTCTGGTCGCCTCTCTTGCTAGGGTCGTCGTCGCTCAGCGGGTCCTCCTCGTCTTGCGCCGGGTGCCATGGAGCGCCTGCCGCCGGGGGCTCCTGCGTTTTGATGGCGCGGATGTCGTACGACTGGGCGCGTCGGTGGCCAGGCTTGAAGGGTCCCTGCTCGGGCGCGGGCGGCGGCGGCGGGAGCTGAACCGTCGCGCTTGCCCGGAGCTGCGCCTCAAGGCTCTGATCTTCGTGTGGCGGCGGCGGCACATCGCACGCCGCGGGGATCGTGGCGGCCTCTGCCGGGGGGTTCCACGGCCCGACCGACTTGGGGCGCATCGACTTGCGACGCGCAGCGGCCTTGACCCGCGCGATGTCGGGCGGGAGCGGGTGCGGCGGTGCGGCGGGCGAGTAGTGCCCGGGCGGGGAATGGTTCTTGTTGAGCGGCGGCGAGCGGCGCGCTATCCGCGAACCGGTCGGCGACGAGTTCAGTATCGTAGCCTCCTTGATGATGTGCGAGGTGTAGTCGTGCTGAGGAGGGCTCTGCATCCCGGAGGACGTGGTGTCCACCGACCGCGACCGGTGGTGCCCTCGCTGTCGCCAGAAGGGCAGCAGGCCGGGATTGCCGTTCCCGAGTGCCGGATCCGGTACGCGAACGCCGGCAGCCGCGCCAGCATGCGGCTCGTCGGCGGGGCGGCCCGTGGGCGTGAGCGTAATGATCGGTGTGGGGGCGGTCGGTTGATGCGGCACGCCCGATGGCTGATGAGGAGCCGCAGGCTGGCCCGATTGCGGCGGGTGGCGAGACTTGTTCATCTGTGGCGCAGGGTCGCGGAGGGGATCCTGGTGCGCAGCCGAGGGCGCCTGGTTGTCCATCTCAGCGATGGGCACGTCCACGGTGTGGTGTCGCTTGTGACCGCGGATTCCGCGCGTTGGTCGCTGGGGCTGCGGTGGCTGAGGCGGGGCGACGGGTGCGGCCGCTCCCAGCGGGGCCGGTGGTGGTCGCGACTTGAACTTACGGGATGCGAGGAGGTAGTAGGTGGAGGCAGCGATATCGTAGCGATTGTTGACGATGGAGTCCAGGGCCTGCTCGCGGGGGAAGCCCAGCGACTCCATCTGCTCGACCACGTCGGGGTCGACTTCGTGGGACAGGGAAAAGGCGAAGGCCGCGTCGGCTAGCTCCTCCGAAGACGCGGGCGTGTGGCCCATCTGCAGCCAGCTGTGTCGCAGCACTTCCTCCAGGGTCGCTCGCTGAACCGGATCCCCGACGAGCATGCGACGCACCAGATCGCGACACTCCGGCGACACGAACTCGGGCACGCTGTACGCGCCGGAGAGAATCTTGCGGAACAGGGTCTGCAGAGAAGAGCAAGAGTTGTCAGAGAGTGGGTGGCTGGGAAGAGAACCTGAGAGGTGAGGCGATCAGGGCTTACCTGGAAGTCTTTGGCGTCGAAGGGCAGATAGCCGCAGACGAGCACGAAGAGCACCACGCCTAGAGACCACACGTCGATCTCGGGTCCCTGGTACTCCCTTCGCTGGATCAGCTCGGGGGCGCAGTAGGTGGGGCTTCCGCAAAAGGTTTTCATGAGCGATCCGGGCGTGAAGCAGTTGGAAAGACCGAAGTCGATGATCTTGATGTTGAGGTCGGCATCCAGCAGGAGGTTCTCGCACTTGATGTCCCTGTGAATGACCTGGAGAGAAAGAAAGGCGCACGAGTCAGCACGGCCCCTCTCGCAACGATGCGACCAACAACTGCAGCAGCGTCAAAGTGCGCATGTCAGCGATGCCGAGGGTCAGTGGCGCGTACGTGGTGCTTGTGACAGTAGTCCACGGCGGACACGATCTGTTGGAAGAACTTTCTCGCCTCGCGCTCTTGCAAGCGGCCGTGCGCAACGATGAAATCGAGCACCTCCCCTCCGCTGGCGTACTCCATGACCAAGAACAGCACCTGCCCAACAAGGCCCCCCCAATGTCAGCGCCAAAACAACTTAAGGGGTGGGGTGGAGCATGACACGGAGAGGGAAGAAGCCAAGAACCTTTTCCGTTTCGATAACTTCGTAGAGACGGATGATGTTGGGGTGGTTGAGTAACTTCATGATGCGCACCTCGCGGTAAACCTTCTTTAAGGTGTCCTCGTCGAGCTTGCTCTTGAGAATGATTTTTACAGCCACCTGAACGAACAAGCAGATGGAAGGGGGGGTTAGTGGCTTCGTGGCAAAGCCAAGGCAGGCTGGAGGCTGTGGTGGTACCCGCTCGCCGGTGAGCACGTGCGTCGCCAGCTTGACCTTACCAAACTGGCCTTGGCCAATCGTTTTGTCGAGGTCGTAGTGGCCGATGCATTGGATGCGCCGATGCTGAGGTAGAGACGAACGAGGCGAGAGGGCGGTTGCTGGGCGTGCCTTTAGACGAGGGCTGGCGAGTTTCCTCACGCCGCTTCCATTCATAGAGGGACCGTGACTTGTCTCCATCATCTTTCTTCTACGTTTGAATTATCTCGTGGTCAAGTGGAACCGATCGAATCGCTTTCCAGACAGGCCGCGAGTTGTAGATGGTGATGGATGGCTCAGGTAATGGAGAGGATGCGCGGATGAGTCGCGGGAAATGGGAAGAAAAAGAGAGGGGTAGAAAATGCGTTGGTATCCGCCACACGCGTCTGTCGCGCAGATTAAGGGAGGGAAAGAGGCACGAACAGAACGATTTTTCCTCCTTCGTCCACTCCAACAAGCCGCGTCTCGCTAACCGCTACCCACCAAGCAGACCCGCTTGGTTGCACGGAGTTACGCAGTTGGTGGTAAGACTTCCGCCTTTTGGCCCGAGCGCTCGGGCCTTGGCGAGAGAGCGCACGAGCCGAAAAAAGAGCCAGATCGGTGTGTTTTGACAACCAACGGTGCTCTGTATTTTGTTGTGCTCATCGTTCGTTCCCCTTCTCTCTCGTTCGTATCATGTTGTCGGTTGGCGATGTGCGCGCACCGCTTACTTGCCCTTCTTCTTCTTGCCCTCCTCCTCCATGGGGAAGACCTTGGTAATGACGCCGGCGGCGACGGTCATGCCACCCTCGCGGCAGGAGAACTTGAGTCCCTCGGACAGGGGCATGGGCCAGATGGTCTCGAAGCCGACGTTCATGGTCTCGCCGGGCACGGCGACCTTGTCGCCCTCCATCATGACCTTACCGGTGACGTTGGCGGTACGGAAGAACATCTGGGGAGCGTAGCCAGCACCGAAGGGGGTGTGGCGACCGCCCTCCTCCTTGGTGAGCACGTAGACGTTGGCCTCGAACTTCTTGTGAGCCGACAGGGTGCCGGGCTTGCCGACGACCTGACCCCTCTTGAGGTCATCCCTGTTGGGGCCACGGAGGAGGAGACCAATGCTGTCGCCGGCGAAGCCCTCCTCCATCTGCTTGTGGAAGGTCTCGATACCAGTGACGACACCCTTGATCTTCTTGGCGTCCTCCTGCATGCCCAGGACCTCGACTTCGTCGCCGATCTTGACCTTACCCTGCTCAACCACACCTGCACACGGGAGAAGAAAGGCGGATGAGATGAAGAAGGGAGGCTGGCGGAAACGAAACGGGTCCTCGAGAAGAGAGAAAACGAACCAGTGGCGACGGTGCCGCGACCGGAGATGGTGTAGAGAGCCTCAATGGCCATCAGGAAGGGCTTGTCGGTTTGTCGCTCGGGCTGAGGGAGCTCGTCGACGGTGGCGAGGAGCTTCCTGATCGCCTGAATACCGTACTCGGTGTCCTTGAGCTCGATAGCCTCGAGGGCGGAACCGTGGATGATGGGGGTAGAGTCGCCGTTGTACTCGTATCGGGTCAGCTCCTCGCGGATCTCCATGGCCACCATGTCCTGGAGCTCCTTGTCGGGAATGAGGTCGCACTTGTTGAGCCACACGACGATGTTCTTGACGCCGACCTGCCTGGCGAGCAGAATGTGCTCACGGGTCTGGGGCATGGGGCCAGTGGAGCAGTCCACCACAAGGATAGCACCGTCCGTCAGCGAGGTACCTGCAGGGTGGCAACGGGAAATTTGTTTGGGAGGGGGGTGAGCAGCACATCGTTATTAAAGAAGGGCTGGGCAGGGGTTACCAGTAATCATGTTCTTGATGAACTCAGCATGACCGGGGTTGTCGACGTGACCGTAGTGCCTCTTGTCGGTCTCGTACTCGACGTGAGAAGCATTAATGGTGATACCCCTGCGAATTTCCTCCGGAGCCTGTTTGCCGGAGCAAGCAGCGCCAGATGTGAGTGCCATGCGCCGCACATCTCACCACACGATGCAATTGGGGGAAAAAAGAAAATGGCGCACCTTGTCGATGGACTGGTAATCGCGGAACTTGGCCAGACCGGTGTCGGCGAGCACCTTAGTGATGGCGGCAGTGAGGGTGGTCTTGCCGTGATCGACGTGACCGATCGTGCAAATGTTGAAGTGGGGCTTAGCGCGGTAGGTGGAGTACGACTGAGCTCCAGCATAGGCTGCATTTTGTTGGGTTAGGAGATCAACAAAAGCGCTTTGGGGGGGGGGGCACAGATGAATTGCGGTACCACAGGGGAGGGTGCGCGAAAAATCAGCCCTAGATCGGAGGGGCAGAGTGAGGCGGGCGGGCGCGGTGATCTGGGAAGAGAACCCGAGACGAGAGAAGCTCCTGGAGGCCATGGCACGAAGATGGAAAGGAGAAATGAAAGGATCTACGAAGAGCGAACGGAAGAGATGCGCACGATGTCCTGCTCGCCGGCAAACTGCGCGGAGGCCTGTCCCTTCCCAGAAATATGCCGCGAAAGTCCGGAAGGAAAATTCAAGTTGCAAGCGAGGAAAAGAAAAGAAAAGGTTTTTTGCCTCAATCATCCTCTGCACGCATCAACTCGAGCAGCCATGAGGTACTCCTCTCACTGCCCCTGGCCTTGAAGTAAGCTCACCATGATGCCGTGCTATAATGTGCAGTACGAGTGAATTTGTTGTGCGGCTACGCGGGCTTCCTTGGCAAGCCACCGAGGATGACATTAAAAACTTCTTCCAGGGGTTGACGTTTGCACCCGATGGAAAGGATGGGCTGCCTTCCATCCTTCTTGCACTATCGCCATCTGGTCGTCCTACAGGTAATTAATTCCACCTCCAATCCTCTCTTTTATACCCTCTGTTTGATACGACCAGAGTGGGTGCCTGTGCCACAGGCGAGGGCTATGCTCACTTCGACAACGAAGAGACTTTCGTGAAGGCCCTGGCCAAGGACAAGGAGAGAATGGGCCAGCGGTACATTGAGGTGTTCGCTTGCCCTCAGTCCGACATGGAGAAGGCACAGATGCTGGCACGCGGAGTCACAGAAGGTGCATCAGCTGCCGCCACGAATGAAGACGACCTCCAGTGCGCGGCTGTCGTCCGCATGCGCGGGCTGCCATTTCGGGCCACGGAGGGCGAGATCGTAGCCTTCTTCGAGCAGGCGGGCGTGCGTGTGCTCGATGGCGGCGTCCTCATCTGCAAGAATCCCGACGGGCGGGTGACAGGCGAGGCCTACGTGCAGTTCGGCTCGGACGAAGACGCCCGACGAGCGCTGGAGAGGCACCGCGACCAGATGGGCTCGCGCTACATCGAGCTCTTCCGCAGCAACAAACCCGAGCTGATCAACGTGATGCGGCGCCAGCAGACCACTCGCGACCTTCAACAACAGCGTGGCGGCTATGGTCGAGGTCACGATCACGGACATGGGCACGATCACGGGCACGGGCACGGTACGTGGCTGCTGCTCTCTCCATACATATACTTGGCAGGATGCGCACCTTTCGCTAACAACTTGACGCATCATGGTGCACAGAACATCGCGGTGGCTATGGCGGTCCTCCGACCGGCCCTCCTGGCGCGGAAGAGGGCGACGGCGAGTGGGTGGTGCGCTTGCGCGGTCTTCCCTTCAGCGCCACGGAGGAGGAAATTGCGAACTGGTTTGCGCCGATGCCCGCGCGTCGGGTCCACATCATTCTCACCGGCTCTGGCCGGCCGTCGGGCGACGCCTTCGCCGAGTTCGACAACGAGGCCCAATGGGAGCACGCCATGTCCAAGAACCGCCAGCACATGGGCAGCCGCTATGTCGAGATCTTCGGGTCCTCGAGGCACGAACTTATGTCGTCTCTATCGCACGGCGAGCCTCCCAGCCGCTACCATCATCAGCACCAAGGCCCGCCCTCCTACAACGATCACCAGCGCCCACCTCCGCACATGCCGCACCATTATCCCGGCCCGGACCCTGGCCACATGGCCGGCCCCGGCAGGATGCCCGGACCGTCCTACGGCTATCCGCCGCAGTACGCTGGCGGATACAGCAACCCTCCGAGCTACAACGACCCGAGCGGCTACAATCCCGGAGGCTACAACCCGAGCGGCTACAACCCCGGAGGCTACAACCCGATGGCGCACGGCAACATGCCCCCGATGGGAACGGGAATGGGCGGACCCCTCGGCGCGCCAGGCGTGGACCCCACGATCGCTCTTCTCCAGCTTACAACAGCTCTCAGTCAACAGGCGGCCCAAGCGCAGGCTCGCTCCCACGGGGCTCCGACGGCCCAGTCGCAGCTTGCCATGATGATGCAACAGGCAGCCGCCTCTGGGTGGAACACGGCCTCGACGGCGCCCACCGCCCCGGCCTACCCTGTTCACCCCGCTCCCCCAATTCCGGCACCCTACGACGGAGCGGCTCCCGCTATCGCTCCTAGCGGCCGTACGCAGCACCGGCGGCCCCCAGTGTCCCTCCAGGCGCGTCTGGTGATGCGTCCAAGGGCGTCACCATACAAATTCGGGGTACGCTTGCGGCGCAATGATCTCAGAAGAGGGCAACAGCTTGCCCCGGCCAACACTCACACCCGGTCTCTCTTTGCCAGGTGTGCCGTACCGAACGTCGCCTCAAGAGATCATCGAATTCTTTGCTGGCTACGACATCATTCCCGAGTCCGTCCAGGTACACACATCCTCTTGTATCACCCTCCCCCCCCCAATATCGCCGTGTTGCTGACTTCGAGTGTTCCCCAGTTGGGAAGGGATCAGGCGGGCTATAGCACGGGGGAGGCCTGGGTGTCGTTTAAGCAGGCCGAAGAGGGCTACAGGGCGCTGCGGGAGAAGAACCGGGGCTACTTGGGTCCGCGATACGTCGAGCTCTTCCTCGCCTGATGAGAGGTACCTGGGCGGGTATCTACAGGGCGGTCTACAGGGCGGGACGGGACGTGAAGGGATCGGGACGGGCGACAGAGGGCCGGGGAGGACGGGACGGGGAGGACAAGGGCGGGACGGGACATCGCACGGGCAACGGACGGGCTGGCTTTCTCGGGAGGCTGGGCGACAGTCCGTAGTTATGTCAATTGGTGGGTGGGCAAGGGAGGGTTGTCTTCTCTCTCTCTTTTTTTATTATTGGGGTTGTCAGTCGTCCACTTTCTGGTGTCCCGCAGCAAACACACACCTTCCCCTTGAAAAATTGTACAATTTTGTAACAGTTTATAAATTAAATGCAAAAAAAACCCAACCACAACCGACACCCACAGTTTTGGCGGGAACGCAAAAAACAAGAGAGCAAGTTCGGCACTGCCACAACACAAGCAGAGCAAATCGCAACACCGAAACATGGTACATGACAACTTCCTCAACCCGACGTGATGCACTTTGAGATCTCACGTACAGTTTTCTCAGTCGCAAGCAAACAAGAACGCAATCACAATCAAGGGTTCTGCCCAAATCGTCGCGGAATTCTTCGGCTACAGCATCAACAGGTGCGCTCCCCTCCGATCTCCCTCGACCACCGTTCTCATGCCATTAGCAGCATCCTCTACCAGCGCGGCATCTATCCGCCCGAGACCTTCACTCGCGTCGAGAAGTACGGCCTCGGCATGCTGGTCACCAAAGAAGATGGCCTGAAGAACTACCTCAACAACGTGCTTAAGCAGCTCAAGGGTACGGTTCTCGGCTCTGTCCAGGAGTAGCACCGTGGCCAACCTCGTGAGGTGCAGATTGGCTCATGACCGGCACTGTGGAGAAGCTTGTTGTGGTAATCACCAACATCGACACGAATGACACCGTCGAGCGTTGGGTGTTCGACATCATCACCGATTTGCCACAGGCCGGGTACGAACTACCGTTCCCTCCGCGTTCCGTCACGTATCCACGGCATTTAGCGCCTTAATGCATGCAGGGAGGCGAAGGAGAAGCCTGAGAAGGAGATCATGGGCGAGATTCAGGCAATCATCCGTCAGATCTGCGCAAGCGTCACTTTTTTGCCACTTCTCGATGGCCCCTGTTCTTTCGATCTGCTCGTCTACGCTGACAACAAGGTCACCACGCCGCTCGCTTGGGAAGAGTCAGATCCGAAGTACATCGCCAATTCGCAGGTTGTGCGTTTGCGCTCTTTCTCCACCAAGGTACGTTCTCACCACCCCATATCGCCCCAACAGCTGCGTGCTGACTTTACTTCCTTGTTTGTTGGCCAACAGATCCACCAAGTGGACACAATGGTCGCCTACGCGGTGCAGGACTAGTGCTGTCTTGCTCTCCCAGAGATGTGGTTGGAGTGAGTAAAGCACCTCCATCGTACAATGCATGAGCGATGTGTAATTACATGCAAATAGAGAACAACTTTATCGTCTGAATTCTCAAAGAAGTAGAGGATTGAGTGGAATGATATGTTCAAAAAACAGAGGCAGGGGGCGATCGATCAACAAAATTTACTCCTTGGGCTCAGACTCTTCGGCAGGCTTGGGCTTCTGAATGTCCACCTCCTCAAACTCATCCGAGCCTGGCGGCACAAGGGACGCTTGAGTGACACCCTCATGCAAGTGACTGCTGGCGGGGGGTCAGCACATACCATCCTTCTTGTACACGAGGTACACAACCTGGTCGTTCTCAATCTTGTAATCGCCAACAGTCTTGTCGTTGTCCAGCTTGGCGTCGTTGAAGATGAGGGCGAGCTCGTCCGCCGATTTCTCGTTAATCTTGGCAAGCTTGCCCTTAAGGTCGGCAACCTTCTCGCTGGCGTCAGCGTACAAGAAGATGGTTTGGTTCTTCCTCTTCACACGAATGTACTGCGCCTAAATGCATGAAAAAAACAATGTGTACATTTGACGTACGTGGAGTCAATTATGCATTCATTTGATCTTCCATGCGAGGGGATTGAAGTTGGGCATCACGATGGGCGGGGGGGGGGGCACCATTGTTGTGCGATGTGGGAAATAATCGGCGAGGTGCGAGAATCGATTCAGCAAGCAAAACGATCTTTTTCTTCTGCGCGTCCTTTGTGCCGTGATTGGCCCACAACTTCCCTGTGGCTCTTCCCCGAACACAGACTTTTCATTTCAGATTTTTTTTTCATTTGGCTAAATATTGCTTTGGAATGACAAGTATATTATGAGGTAAAATAAAGAACAAGCAAAGGAAAAGACTGAGCACGAACAACGACGTGTTGGGCCTGCGCGCCTTGCCTTGCCTGCGCTGCACGCGCTCTTTTGAATTTAAATCAACCATGTCGATCTGGGATGGTTTTCGAAATAGGCTGGGGTCGGGCGACGCCAAGGAGAAGCAATCTTCACCTCCCACGGCACCCACTCCGGCTTCTTCATCTCGCGGGGGGCGCCAAGATGTCGAATGGAACTCGAATCTCGAGCGAAAGCTGAAGGGCGTGCTTCACCAGCTCAAGGTGCTCACCAAGATTCGCAAGACCCGCATCCCCTCCCCCGCATCCACCACCTCCACATCTCCTCCTCCCACCGCTGCCACGCTGCCCGCCAGCGTCACCTCGAGCACCGCCACGCCCGCCGCCACCGCTGCCGCCGACCCGGCCGTCGAGGCCCAGAGCAAGCGCGTAGGCGACGCCGTCAAGGAGGTGCTGCCGGCCCTGGCCCTGCCCTCCTTCAGCTACGACACCCGAGGCCGCGGCAGCCACCACCACCACCACAGCGAAGGCAGCAGCGGGCTGAGCGCGGCGCGGCGGTTCTTCCTCGACCTGTGGCACCTGCTCATGATCAACCTCGAGGCCCTCGAGGGCAAGCACCAGAAGCACGCCTACGAGGCCATCTCCTACCTCATCACCCGCGAAGAGTTCGACCTCACCCGCATGGGCCTCCACCTCGACCAGCTCCGGTGCAGCAAGGACGAGCTCCTCGTCGTCCACCGCTACCGCGTGCTCCTCTTCCACACGCAGACCTTCATCAGCGTCAAGCTCTCCGAGGTCGTCGAGCGGCCCTACAGCCCGCCCTACTACTTCTCCCAGTTCTGCGCCCGCGTGCTGGCCATCACCTTCTTCCGCCTCCCGGGCGTGAGCCGCGCCCTGGTCCAGGCCGTGGCCCTCTCCACCCCGCAGATCGCCGAGCTCGAGGCCTATCTCATCCCTCTCCAGCGGCCGCCCGCTGCCGCCCGCCTCCCCATCGGCGACCACCGGCCCGTTCCCTCTTCTTCTTCTTCACCGTCATCTTCATCTTCATCTTCGTCGTCGCCGCCGGGTGCTGCGGCGAACGGGGTCGGGCCGTCGTCGCCTCCGATGTCGTTCGTGTCGCCGTCGTCCACGGCGCGGAGCGCTTCGCCTGCGATTCGCATCGGCGCGGCGAAGGCCGACGGCGGCGCGGCCGTCGCGACAGGGGCGAGCCCCAAGCACGCCGCTGCAGATCTCAAGCTTGACCAGCAGGAGCGACGGGTCGACTCACCGCGCATCGGGGCGCGTCAGCTCGACAGCGACTCCTCGCCGCGGCGAGGCGCCAAGGAAGAACGGGAGCGCGGGGAGAAGGAGGAGACGAAAAAGAAGAGGAAGAAGAAGAGGGACACGCCCGCGGGAGAGAACGAAGACGACGACGACGACGACAAGGAGAGGCACGAGCACGAAAGCGAAGAGGAGGCGGAGGAGAACGAAGGCGACGAGAACGAGAACGAAAACGAGAACGGCGACAACGGGGGCGATTCCGCGGGCGACGGGCGATCGGCGCGAAAGTACACCTTCACCCAGGGCCGGTGCTACTGGCTCGTGACGCAGCTCGACGGCGGACAGAAGACCGCCAAGCGGAAAGTGACCGGGCCAGTGTCGCGTGCGTACCTCCCGGTCAGCCCTTTGCAGTTCCCTATCACCGTTTGGCTCTAACACACACACTTACACTCACGCACACACACAACACACACACACACACACACACACGCACTACACGCACACAACAGCAACGCTGAGTCGAAATACGTTGTCAGCGTTTCCCAACCTCACCACGTGGCACACCTTCCACGGGGCGCTGCTCATGCGCATCGCCGACAACGAAGACGACAAGGTGCGTGCCTCGCCACGTCCCGCCTTCCACACACTTCTTTGTCATTACCTTACACACGCCGTGCGTGTCGTGTCGCGCGTGTCGTGTCGTATAGTTGCGGCTGGCGCCGACGGAGTGGCTGAAGCTGTTCAATCAGCGGGACAGGCTCTATTTTCTATTTTTGCGGGACTGGGTGGACCACATCCTGTACAACACCCAGGGCCGTCCGCTCGAGTGGAGCGGGGTCAAGGGCTACATCCCATTTTTGCTGGGCTTCATCTACGAGCTGCGCGCCCGCAAGCACCTCACCAAGCCCCTGCTCGACTGCACCAACGCCTTCCTCGCCACCGACCCCTCGCTCCTCAACCTCTTTGTAAAGCTCACCTTCACACGCACCAAGGTACTTCGACAAAGCCGCATCGCGTTGTGCGTGTGCGGTGGTGTGTTGTGTGTGTGTGTGTGTG